TTCATGGAACGTGCATGTGTCCCCAATTTCGATTCCAAATCCACGTAGGTGCAGGTAATCGACGACGACATCGAACCCTAGAAAGAGCTCCAGTTGGGCGTTGCAAAGGCGGCACCAGCTAGGGAGCCAATTCAACTGAAAGAGGAGCAAGTGTTCACTCAGATTAGTGAGAGGATCGAGGCGATGGATCCTCAACACAGCGGCAACAAACCATATGACCGGGGCTCCGAGCTCGACTCAGAGATTCGCAAGACGGTGAAATTTGGCGATGGCTCCATCGTTGAGATCGAAGGGCGCGGCACAATCCTATTCGTCAACAAGGGAGGCGAGCACCGCAAGCTGACCGACGTCTACTTCATCCCAAGGTTCAAGGCTAACCTTGTGAGGACGATGGCTGCTCACGTAGGTCCGGCGCTTGACAAACCGTCTTTACATCCTGGAGTTAGAGATAGAGCAACCCATCAACCTCTCGGCCAAGACCGAAGAGGTATCTTAGAGATGACACGCAAGGTACACAGGCACTTAAACTTTCCTACTCTAGAAAAGCTACAGAAGGAGGAGATGGTGCACGGTTTGCCTGCAATCAAATGCGTGAACAAGCTATGCGACGAGTGCCCCATCGGCAAACAGAGGCGCACTCCCTTTCCGTCTCGGACATCCTAAGAGGCGCACACCCTTTCCATCTAGGACATCTTACCGCGCCGATGAGCCGTTGGAGCTTGTACACAGCGATATCTGCGGGCCCATCAAGTCGGCGACCCCAGGCGGTAAGAATTTCTTCCTTCTATTAGTCGATGACAAAAGCCGCTTCATGTGGCTGACCCTGCTGGAAGCGAAAAGTAAGGCGGTAGAGGCGGTTAAGCGCATTAAAGCGCGAGCGGAGGTCGAATGTGAGAAGAAGATGCGAGCGGAGGCCGAATGGTACATCATTTCCGCGTGTTCAGCTGCGTCGCATACATGAAGGTAACACGTCCCCACCTCACCAAGCTCGATCCCAGGGGGATGAAGGTCGTCTTCATCGGCTATGAACTCGGGAGCAAGCTCACGTGTCTCGCGACGTCGTCTTCGACGAAAGCACCTTTTGGCAGTGAAATGACGTGATTAAGGCAGACCATAATCCAAATCAATTCACGGTGGAGTACCTCGTCACCAAGCTGGAAGAAGGAGGAGCTCAGCATCAGAAGCCGTCACCGCTGCCAGTAGGTGCACCCCCTAAACTAGTGGAATACGCAACACCACGGACTGCGGATTCAATGTTAGATGCCGATCACGATGTTGATCTGGAGGTCAGGTACCAGAGGATGGACGACCTAGTGGGAGAAGGTGAACCACCTGGACTGGCAGCGGGCGAGCTCGAAGAAGTGGCCGAACTGCATGCCATCAGTGCAGATGAACCGAACACCTTTGTCAAAGCAGAAAGAAACCCGTGCTGGCTGAAGGCAATGCAGGAGGAGATGACATCCATCACCGAGAACCAGACGTGGAGTCTGGAGGATATGCCGCTGGGACACCGAGCCATAGGGCTCAAATGGGTCTTCAAACTAAAGCACAACGAAAAAGAAGAAGTTGTGAAGCACAAGGCCCATTTGGTGGCGAAGGGCTACGTCCAAAAGCAAGGAGTGGACTTCGAAGAGGTATTTGCGCTAGTGGCAAGGTTAGAATCCATCCGTCTTTTGCTGGCAATTGCGGCACATTACTCTTGGGAGGTTCACCATATGGACGTGAAGTCTGCTTTCCTTAACAGAGAGCTGAAGGAGACCGTCTACGTCCGACAACCATCTGGCTTCCTGGACAACGACAACCCCGATAAGGTATTGCGCCTGCACAAGGCACTATATGGGCTTCGACAAGCCCCATGAGCCTAGAACGTGAAGAACTGTCATTGAAATTCAAGCGTTGTTCCTCTGAGCATGGCATGTACACGCACGACCATGGCAAGCAGCGACCGATCGTGGGAGTGTACGTCGACGACTTCATAATCACTGGAGGCGACGTGGAAGTCCTCAGAAGGATCAAGAAGGAGATGTCAAAGAACTTCGAGATGAGCGATCTTGGCGTGCTCAGCTACTACCTCGGCATCGAAGTGCAACAGAATTCTACCGGCATCTCCATCTGCCAAAGTGCATACGCGAAGAAGCTGTTGAACACAACTGGGCTTGTAGACAGTAATCCTACAAAGATACCAATGGAGGCCCGACTCCAACTAAGGAAGGTCGACACTACGATGACAGCCGACTCCACCAATTATCGCAGCATTGTCGGGAGTCTGCGCTATCTGGTAACACTCGTCCTAATCTTGCTTATTCTGTTGGATATGTGAGCAGGTTTATGGAAGCACCTAGGGAGGAGCATCTAGTGATTGTCAAGCGCATCCTGCGCTATGTAGCTGGAACCTGAAGCTGGGGTGTAAGACACTGCGTAGGAAGAGGAAAGGAGAAACTCAAGCTGGTCGGCTACAGTGATAGTGACATGGTCGGTGACGTTGATGATCGTAAGAGCACCAGCGGAATGATCTACTTCCTCTCAAGCGGCGCGAACTGCTGGCAATCAACAAAACAGAAGGTACTTGCTTTGTCTTCCTGCGAAGCATAATACATCGTCGCTTCGATGGCAGCAACACAAGGGGTCTGGCTTGTGCGACTAATGGAAGAACTCATCGGGAGAGAAAGCGATCCACCAATGCTATACATAGACAACAAAGCTACGATCTCCCAGATAAAAAAATTAGTTTTGCACGACCGGAGCAAGCACATAGAAATCAGATTCCACTACATTCGAGAATGTGTAGATCGATGGCTCATCAAGATTGATTTCATCCGAACAGAGGAACAACTTGGAGACATTTTCACCAAGTCCCTGACGCGGGTAAAATTTGAAGAACTACGCTCAAAGATCGGAGTTCAAATAATAAGGTAGATATAGCACAGCTTTTAGGAGAAGATTGTTAAATAAAAGCTATGTTCCTTACTTTAGTTAGGTTATTTTGACGTCTCAAAACTTCTGAATTCATACAATGGAAGCGTAATTGTAGCCGCCATTTTTTGCCAATTTAGGCCAAGTCTTCGCCCACTTTTCTATTTTTGTAATTAGCTCTTATATTTTTGTAATTAGGTTTGTTATTTAAAGAATTCAACTGTAGAGAAATAAAACATCGGTCTTCAGCAAATCTCTCCCTCTCTTCTTTTACTTCCACTATTTTTTCTTTCGAAGAAACCTTTTTCGGCCAGTTTTTCGTCGACGTTTTCCTCCGAATTGGTAGAGTCAATTGTCAGAGTCAACATAAAATGTTTTTAACTTAAACTCTTATTCGTTTTATTTAGTCTTTTTTTGTGTCGTTTTAAAGATGTTATCGAAACACGTAAGTCCATGGCTGTGTTTTAAGATAAAGGTTATGTTTTATAAAATTTTAATGAAGTCTTCCGCATTCAATGTTTATGGTACCTATACAGCAGCGAGCTTAAATTAAGTAGAAAATTTCAGGTCGTTATAATATTTTTTTTTTTAAGTAAATGTAACAATTGTTGTTTTTCTGTTTCTTTTTACAGTAACGGTTGGTAAGGATGATTTGAGCAGAGATAATTGTGGGAAGGGATGAGAGATTAGTGGAGAGAAGGGGGAAAGGTTGTTATTTATTTATTTATTTATTATTATATTTTAACTATTTTTTATAATTATTTTTATTTTTTTATTTCTTTATTTATTTCATTATTTATGATTTTATTCACTATTTTTTTTTTTGTTATTACATACACGTGTGTTTCGGGTAACTAACCACTAATAGTCACCTTTGAGGTGATTCTAGAAAACAGGTAAGTGTTACACGTTGTGTGTTTCAGGTAACTAGCCTTTGATAGTCAATTTGAGAAAATAAGGAGGTGATGTCTTCTGGTAATGGTTACACGCTGTGTGTGTGTGTTTCGGGTAACCAACTTGGAATAACCACTTTAAGGAGTAAAGGTGGCGTTGATGTTCTAGTGCAATAATCACCTGCTGCGTGTTTTGGTTGGTCACCTTATGATGATTTATATATTGACCCAATAGGAGAGTTCCTTATTGAGTATTTTAATACTCACCTATTTTTAAAATGATTTTTCAGGCGAAGTTGTGGCACGGAATGGTCAATTGGTCAAAATTGACTTCGTTATTTGTGGAGATTAAAGGGGATCGAGATTGAATCCCGGCCACAAACGTCTTTTGTCGGGAGACTATAAATACCCACAATATGTTATGTAAAAATGAGATTCGTTGATGAATGTAATTCAGATCTCAAATTGAGACGTTTTCCTTAGAAATCCGAGCATCATATTTGCCATTTCTAAGTTTCAAGCAATTCTTGTGGTAGAATTACACCCGAGTCATTCAATCAAGCCTTGATCAAGTTAGATTGTGGAGTGACTCAATTTATAACAAGGTTCCAAATCTTGCTTCTAGATCTTCGATCGTAAGAGGTAATCTAATTCTAGCCTTATCTCTTGGTTGATCCAAATTTCACTTAAGGAGGTGTTAATTACTTTGATTCAAGGGTTCTTGCTAAAATAAAAGCTTGGATCGTTAGGCTGAGGATTAGGGTTGCCTTATCATCATTAATTTCATAAATACCACTGGGGCATTGGTGAGACCAAAAGACATCACCACAAACTCGTAGTGGCCATATCGGGTTCGAAAGGCTGTTTTCGGTATGTCTTCATTTTTAATCTTAATTTGATGATATCCTGATCGAAGATCTATTTTAGAAAACACTGTCGCCCCTCGCAGTTGGTCAAATAGGTCCTCGATATAGGGTAATGGATATTTGTTCTTTCCGTCCTCTTGTTTAATTCCCTATAATCAATGCATAAACACTTAACCCAAGGTGATCGCAAGGAGCCGTCTTTCTTTTTGCAAACAACACTGGCGTACCCCAAGGGGACACGCTACGTCGAATGAAGCCTTTATCTAATAGGTCTTGCATTTGTGATTTAAGTTCTTTTAGTTCTGCTGGTGCCATGAGGTACGGGGCCTTAGAGATGGGTCCCGTTCCTAGTTCCAGCAAAGTTTTCGGCTAGCCAGTCCATTCCTAGTATGACGTCAAAATTCGTCATATCCACTACTTTTAAGTCTTGGATGGTTTGTCCAGCTATTACCATTTGTCCGTCTTTTACTCTATTTTTCGTAACTAAGTCTACCCCTGCTGGGGTACCAACCGACAATATATGTATTAAGGGTTCTACTACGAACCCTGCTTGTTTAACAAATGGTAAAGAAACAAACGAATGGGTAGAACCAGAATCAAACAATGTCAACGCAAAGTGTCCTAGTATAGAAAGCGTACATGTCCCCCACGGTGCTAGACGTTCCCACCTCTTTACTGGTCGTTGCATATGCCCTGGTCTGTGGGCCGGTTTGTATGGTGGGCTCTCGAATGACCGATCCTCTAAGGGGTTCCCTTGGATTTCCCGAGCTCCTTGTAGGGCAAGTTCTGGCCACATGACCTACATGACCACAGATATAACACATACCTGAGCCCCCCAAACATCTCCCAACATGTTGTTTTCCACAGTTACGACACAAGGGCTTCTCCAGTGTTAGGTATCGAGCTATTGGGGGTGGAGCAGGTGGCCTACTCGGATATCGAGGTCTCTGGAGCGGTGGTTGGAATCTGTGGTTTCGACCTCGACAGGGCGTTTCCTCCCTGTGACAACCGTTGGCTCCGTTTTTTTCTCCTCTGAGGGTTCCTCTAGGGCCTTGGCCGTCCTTAAGGCCTTTTCATAGGTTTTTGGGTTAAAGGCCTCCAACATGCGGTGGCTCTTCGGGTTTAATCCCAACATCTGTTTCTCTTCAGTATCAGCTAATGACAGTGCAAACCTTCTTAATCTCATGAATTCTTGATCATACTGATCCACCTTGCGATCACCTTGGGTTAAGTGGTTAAACTCTTGTTGTTTCTTTATACGGGTTTCCTTTGGATAATAATATTTCAGAAAGGCTTCCTTAAAGTTTTCCCACGTTGTAATCCCCTCACCCGAGTTGATGCTCTGTTTATTATCCGACCACCACACTTCTGCATCTTTTTGTAACACATACGTCGCACACGCCACCTTATGTTCATCAGGGCATCTCATTGATTCAAAGGTCGTTTCCATGTTTGCGATCTATATCTAAGTCGCTGTGGGATCTTCCTTTGAATCGACAAAAGGATGGGGGTTATACCGTCTGAAATCCTTTAACCAACTCGCACCCCTATCCGGATGCGGGTTGTTGGCCGGTTGTATAGCTACCGCATCCACCGGTTGCGTGGCCGCCGCGTTGGCTAGTTGCGTAGCCATTGCCGCGACTTGTTGCGTAGCTAACAACGTGGCCTGTTGTGTGGCTAGCATGGTTTGCATTGTCGTTTGGAGGGATTCCAACACTAACCCTGGGGTGTAGCTTGAGGGGGCTGTGCGTATTCAGGAGAGGGTATAGTTTGTGGGGGAGGTGCATATTCAGGAGGTGGTATGATATGAACCAAGAGACATCAATCATACAATATGCTTCAATGAAGATGTGCAGAAAATATTGTTGAAATTATCAAAATATATTTCAATTCATACCACGTTGAAGAAGAATGAAGTTTCATGTTTTGAATTTTGGGTGGATTACAATTTAGAGTAATTTAAAGTTATTGTATTTCATTAATGTATTTTAAGACTTTTAATTTATTTTAGGTTACAATTACATAATGGTTAATTAAGGCCATTAAGTATGAATGTTACAACATTTTTAATGCCTTTAGTAGTTTCATTTTGAGGCTATATAAAACCATGTATGTTGTATTTGTAAGGAGACTTGGAAAATATAGTAAAATAAGCATTTGTGCTTTTTTTTAGCCAATGGCTAAGTTTCTTTGCAATTCTATGTAGTTTAGGTTACATGTAGAATCATTCAAGCTCGACATGATCAATCTTGCTTGTGAAGTGATTCGAATCTCAAACAAGTGTTCTTGCTTTGAGATATTTGATCAACAAAAATCATTCAAGCTAGACATGATCGATCTTGCTTGTGGAGTGATTCGAATCTCAAACAAAGTGTTCTTGCCTTGAGATATTCGATCAACAAGGTAATCTGAATCTTATTCCCCTTGTAGTGATTCCTTATCATATCATGATACAAACGCATATGGTCCGGTAGTTGACCCCTCTTGGGAAGAGCTTCTATCGGCTTCTCCTCTTCCCCCTCTCTTAATGGAAGGTCATCCTCTCCCTCTCCTACCTCTTCTACGTCCTCTGTGCGGCATGGTTTTAGAAACCAAGAAAAGGACTCTAGCTAAGTTTATGATTTACTTATATAACATTCCCTGCATCCTACCTTATAATTCATATAGAAGAAAACATAAATATCATAACGTAAAGACATGCATTACATCAGATCACATCACAACACATTTAAAGCCAACCACATTAAATATATCACAAAGATCATCCATCCCTCATTCTACATAAGGTATACCTGGCAACGACGGGGCATCGGTAATTGGACCGTGGAACCTGCGAAGCCTACTCTATAGGCTAGTCTACAAGATCTATAACCTAGCGCTCTGATACCAATTGTAACGACCCTAAATTTCACCTATTTAATCTAAGGTCATTATTATACCTTGAGATGCGGAATATACATTAAATGGGCCATGTTCCTAAATGCGACTTACACTCGTCTTTTATTAACTTGTGAAAGAGAAGATGATTACAAGGGAAAGAAGGGAAAAGAACGTTATTGAAATAAAGGAAAAGCAACAAAACCGAAATGAATGTCTTATACTACCCTATGGTTTATTATGCAAATACAATTCAACCTATACTAACCTATACTAATGATGCAAACTGAATTCAAACTAGACTATGAAATGGAAAGACAACTACCCTATGCACGTGCCATGGTCCCAAGGTGTACGATGTCGTCGTCGATGTCACAGGGGTGTCTTGCCCTTATCTGAAAATGTAAAGTAGCACGAGGCTTGAGTATTTCTAGAATACTCAGTAAGTGACCCCCTATCGGGGTTATGCAACAATCACATGCAATGAAATGATGGGACCTATCTTTTGTTTCGTTTCGTTTTTCCTACGGTGGTGTCCTAACAGGTAATCATGGACGTGTATCATATACTCTACACACAGCCCATACGTGCGAGTATGGGCTCACAAGCTAGTTCCCCCCTACTTCTACATTTATCATTAATGATCATAACCCCCTTGTCACGTTCCATGCTTCATATCATTCTCATTTTCAATTTACATTTCATACATATTTCTATCGGGGTTATGATTCCAGGCAGTTTACCTTGTTTCATGTCATACAATTCATGCTGTTTACATTCAAATATTCCCTATAATCATTCAGGAACTACATATCGTCATATGCATAACATATCACATCAAACTAAGCAGCATTCATTGCATACATTCACGTTCACATGAGTTCGTATTTAAGCACATTAAACTAGCATACAATTTAATGACACGCGCAAATCCATGGGCACGTGCCAACATATAATAAATAACGTGTAACCTACAATGGGTGAGCCACTTACTTGGTAGGCCTTAGCCGAAGTACTCCCTAGAATATAAACGTAAGCTCCTAACTCCTTGTGAACGTTCTACGCTTCTGTTGGTGGTTGGTTCCTATTGGTTCATTTGTCACTTTCGTTAGTATTTCACAAACATAATTAATTTCCAACATGAATTTGTGAAATACGACCTTAAATTGATCTATTTTACCTTAAACAGGGCCGAAACTAAGTTTGGGAGGGTCGGAACGGTGACAAACGGGCTGGGAATAGGTTTCCCGAGCCGAATAAGCCACTGGAGTTGAGAAGCCACCTCTAAGTTGATTGAGCCGCTGGAGCCGAGGGGAGCCGCGCTGTAGATGTGCCATGTGGCACAATCAGAGGGCGACGCATGTGCAGGGGTCTCAGGTCGAGGCGCGGGTTATCGGATTGCTCGTGGGTCTCAGGCCGTTCGCAGGTGACGGATCGTTCGTGAGTGATGGGTCGTTCGAGAGTGATGGGTCGTTCGCGGGTGACAGGCCGACCCAGATGAAGGAAAAATGCAAGTGGGCTAGGCTAGGCGTGTCAGTGTTGGACTGGGCTTGCGGGTCCCGGGTTGAGGCTATCAGGTTGGGCCGTAACTGGGCTTACGCATTTTAGGCTGAAGCAACTGGGCCGCGGGAGCCGTCGAGTACCTGGCTGACCTAAGGTGATTGGGTTCGGTTCGGGTTGCGGGATCCGGCCCTCAGGTCGGACTTCATCTTCTTCACCCGGTTGCCTGTGCCTTTTTTCGGCGAATTTTCTCTCTCCTCTTTAACGTCGTTTCGACGTCCTCTTTTCTTCCTTTTTCCTCCATTCCTGAGTCTCTTCTTCCCCCTAACCCCGTTTTTGGTATAGATCTAGTTTGTAAAGGCCTCACACTCCCGGATCTGGAGAAGTTCGAAAATCCGACGTTCCGTCTCCCTTGCCGACGGTGTTCAACGTATAGGATTCGTCTAAATCTACCCCTGATGTGTGAAAAAAGTTCTGGGATTACTTTTGTTGCGTAAAAGGGAGGTTTTGAGGTCGATTTCGTATGGTTTGGCCTCACTGGAGTTTCGTCGAATTTTTCTGTTCCTCTTCGTTTTTCTCTATTTTTTGTTCTTTGCAGGTCGTTTTGGGGTGCCTGAAGGTCGGGGTCGAGTTCTGTGGCATCCCAGCCTTCGGTCGCCCTTTGTGGATCATGTGCGAGCGAAAACTCCGATTCGCAGAGTTTTCGGTTCTACCAATGACCCTTTTTTTTTTTTTATCCGATCCGTTTCAATGAAAATGATATTAATATAAATATCCACGAGTATGTGTTGCCTAGAGTAACAAAGAGATGTGACTAGAGGTGATATGAACCACGACCAAGGAATTTCCATACCTCATGGTCCAATTACAAGGACGAGAGCCAAGAAGCTACAACAAATCTTATACAGTTATATTCAAGCTATGGTGAGCTCATCAAAGGAAATTCTAGAAGACGTTGGAGACCTCCCTTATGTTTTATGCAAAGTTGCATGATAAGAAAAGAGCTTGAGGGAAAAGCAAGAGAGTAACACTCAGCCTAGAGAAAAAAAAAAGAGAGAAAAGCCAAATCAGTAAGCTTGTATGTTAGATCAAGTGAGGCTAGGAATGTTTTGCTCTCTAACCAGACTATTCTTGTACTTATGTGCAAGGGATCTTGTTACTTTACTAACATGCTTAACCCTTCTTTGCCTAGTGATTTTGTTGTGCTTTTGCAAGAGTTTGAAGATTTATTTTCCGAGCAGAAGCCTAGTAGTTTGCCACCACTTAGAGGGATTGAACACAAGATTGACTTCATTCCTAGCGCGCCCATTCCAAACCGACCAGCTTATAGGACTAATCCAAAGGAGGCTGAAGAGATATAAAGGCAAGTAAGTGAACTCCTTGCTAAAGGGTATGTACGTGAAAGTTTGAGTCCTTGTTCTGTTCCAGTTATTCTTGTTCCTAAGAAAGATGGTTCTTGGCGTATGTGTTGATTGTAGGGCTATAAACAAGATAGCTATAAAGTATAGGCATCCAATTCCCAGATTAGATGATATGCTTGATGAATTGCATGGATGTAGTCTTTTTACTAAGATTGATTTAAAATCGGATTATCATCAAATTCGCATGCATATTGGGGATGAGTGCAAAACAACTTTTAAAACCAAGTATGGTCTTTATGAATGGTAGGTTATGCCTTTTGGATTAACTAATGCACCTAGTACATTCATGAGACTAATGAATCATGTCTTACGAGAATACTTAGGTAAGTTTGTGGTTGTTTATTTTGATGACATCCTTGTTTACTCTAAATCTTTAGATGATCATATTACCCATGTACGCAATGTTTTGACTACTTTAAGAAACGAATGTTTGTACGTAAATTTAAAGAAATGTAGCTTTTGCATGGAAAAAGTTAACTTTCTTGGGTTTGTAGTTTCATCTAATGGTGTTGAGGTTGATGAGGAGAAAGTGAAGGCTATAAAAGATTTTCCTACACCTAAAAATGTAAGTGAGGTAAGAAGTTTTCATGGTCTTGCAAGTTTCTACCATAGGTTCATTAAGAATTTTAGTACAATTGCTTCACCCTTGAAT